TGTAACTACTTATATTATAAATCGAGGACTTATTATTATATAATGTTTAGCAATAAAATTATTCTTTAATTGAGTTTTGTATATTAAAACTAGATTGTTGTTTAGTTTGATGAAAGTAAATCGAATTAAACGTTATTTTGCGTAAAGATAATTTCAAATTAACTTTATCATTAAAATTAAATTCCTACCCGTTCAACCAAAAGTAAGCATATATGGAATAGTTGGTGGATTCATTATTATCTTTTACTTAGTAGCTAGAGTATTTTAAAGTTAGTATTTACATATTAAGATTAAGTTATTATTTTATTTATTCAAAGCAAACAGCACATGCGTAATTGAAAAATTTATTATTATTTTATGTTTAGTAGTTTAAGTATTTATTGGTCAACCTTTGCATACTGAGACTAAATTTTTTTATAATTAGTTAAGAGTAAAATCATACAAATTACAATAAAAGAATTCATTGTAATATTTTATTTAGTTGTTATAATATTTTAAATCATTTTTTACTTACAAAAACTGAATAGCTCACTGATTTTGCTAAAGACGGAACATATATGTCATAATTAAAGGATTCATAAAAAATTCATTGCAGCCTCGCTCCATAATTAAAATCAAATCTTAGATTCAACTTATAAGTTGACGCTTATATTTACCAATAAGCTAAACCCTTAGGTTAAAATTGTAAAATTTTTTAATTAATTATATGTTATATATGTTAATTAAATATTATGATGTGTCTAATTATGAATGCAGGAAGATGTATATTATCCTCGTCTTTTATTACAAGACTTGATTTGGGACACCCTCTACCTTTTTGGCGAGCCTTTTTTTACTAATTGGCCTCTAAACAAACTAGTGAGAGAGAAAGCTCTCCGAATTATCATGAAACATATTCACTATGAAGACAAAAACAGTCGATACATCACCATCGGCTGTATTGAAAAGGTTTTATGCATGCTCGCTTGTTGGGTTGAGGATCCACTTGGAGATTATTTTAAGAAGCATCTCGTGAGAATTTCGGATTATTTATGGGTAGCTGAAGATGGAATGAAGATGCAGGTATGGATATATATACTAGATTCTCAATTTATGCTAAGCGCATGATGTAATTTAATAAAAACATATAAATATTATGTTGCGTAAATAAAAGTTTTGTAAAAGTAAAAATATTTTTTTATAAAAAAATATCATTATCTTATATTTTTTTGTCGAAAGATTTACATGATAAAAAATATAATAATATTATATTTAAGAAATTCTAATAAATAACTATTGCAAATAATTATCATTTTAATTCTATTTTATTTATTATATATATATTATCATTTTAATTAAAATGATATATTAATATCAGTGATCAATTAAAATTCTTTTAAAATTTTTTAATTAAAATAGACTAAGATTCTTTCATTAAATTTTGATTGAATTATATAATCAGTTAAGATTTTTTATAATCAACTAAGAATAAATTTTTTGAAATATATATTATCATATTAACTTTATTTTTTTAAAAAAAGAATTTCTATGAGGCAATATCTGGTCCTTCTTATAAATATGCATATATTTCAATAATAGCATTCTCAAATATCGGTTCACCTTAATTATATATGTATGTATGTATTTCCTATATGTATATATGTGTGCAGACCTTTGGGAGCCAAGCATGGGATACTGCTTTCGCTATTCAAGCTTTGCTTGCAAGTAATTTGGCACAAGAAATTCCGGATGTAATCAAGAGAGCACATGATTTTATAAAAACATCTCAGGTCTAATATATAAAGAACTGTATATATTTCTCTCTTCATATACATATATATATATATATACATGGTTGTCAAAATATTTATTTAGAATTAAAATTTTGAAGGTGAAAGAAAATCCTTCAGGCGATTTTAAGAGTATGTATCGTCATATTTCTAAAGGATCATGGACATTTTCTGATCAAGATCATGGTTGGCAAGTTTCTGATTGCACTGCAGAGGGTTTAAAGGTGAGTTAGTAACTTTCCATCATCACCATTTCAGCCCTTCAAATACTTTAATGTGCAATAAAATAATTAAATGTTGGATAGGAATGACTAATTGTCAATTTTAAGTTGAATATGATCTGATTTAAATATACAAAATCTGAAATCGCACCGGATCTGTGATAAATTCACTATATCTAATTACTTTTTAGCTTGATTAAGTTTCTGTTGTAACCAACATTAATTATATATGTAGGTCATACATATATACATCAAAACATATATTATATATACTAAGTAAAGTTAACAATATACATATCTTTATATATATATATATACTATATACATTAAGTTGAAATATGTATATTCTATATATATATATCTGAATCTGGTTTGAATGATTTTTTTTTTTTTTACTTTTAATCCAAAACCAACATAATTCAGATTTAATTTATAATTAATTCAATCCAACTCATTTTGTTTAAATTAGAAAAGAA